GGCTGGTCCAGGCCGCGGCCGTGGCCGCGTCCAGGGGGGAGGCCCGGGGGCCGGTGCTCTTCGTGGCCTTCTCCTCGGCCGCACCCCCCGCCGTGGGCCGGCCCCCGATGGCCGCTGCCGGGGCATCCATTGAGTACGATGTCAACTCGGACTGTGCACAGCTGCCCGTGGTGAGTCCCGCGCTTCCCGCCCGGAGCCCGGCCAGGCGTCCCCGCGAGCAGCTGCCCGGAGTGGGAAGCGGGCAGTGGTTGGGGGCCCATTGGGCCCATGGTAGTCCCTTCCTTTGTATCTGGGTGGTGGAGGGGAACCTCCGTGGCATTCAGGGGACAAGCTGCCAGGGGTGGGCTCGGCTGGGCACCGAAGGGACTGCGTTCGTGCAAGTGACGGAGAGGGTGTTTGGGGTGGGACAGCCGCCCAGAATGGGGTGGGGGCCAGGACCTGTTGTGGTAGGTCTTTGAGCCAGAGGGCAGGTGAGGGTGAGGCCTGTTCGGCTCTAGCCTCAGGATGGATTCAAAAAGGGGAGAAGTGCCCGGCCGGCGGGGCTCAGTGGTTGAGCGTCGGCCTATGAACCAGGAGGTCACGGTTCCATTCCCGGTCAGGCACACGCCCGGGTTGCAGGCTCAATCCCCAGGAGAGGGCGTGCAGGAGGCAGCCGATCAATGATTCTCTCTCATCATTGATGTTTCTTGCTCTCTCTCCCCTTCCATTCCCCTCTGAAATCAATTTTAAAAATATTTTTTGAAAAGGGTGGGGAGCTGCACGAGGGGGACTGAGTCAGTGGGAGGTGGGTGGGGATGGCGCCGGCTGCGCGAGGCCTTGGAGAAGTGGTCCAGGAGAAGGCTGAGCTCACACACCGGAAGCAGCAGGTCCCAGGCCAGGGATGGGCACGGCTGGGGCCCGGACAGGTGGGAACCCACAGAGGAGGGGCTGCTGGAGACCAGCCAAGGCAGCTGGAAAGACGCCTGGGAGGCAGGCTAAGTACCAGCATGTGGCTGGGCGATGTTGTCAGGGAGGCTGGCGGAGAGCCTGGGGCAGGGACCCGGGTGTCCCAGAGGCCCAGGCGAGAGGACAGAATTGTTCCCGGAGAACTGGCCGGGAGCCCGGGGCAGGCAATGCGCTTGGCCCGGAGCGCGGGTCGGGAGGTCATCCAGGGAGGCTCACTGGGCTCCCCGCTGCCTGCAGGACACGCTGGATGCCTATCCCTGTGGCTCAGACCACACGCCCAGCCCCATGGCCAGTCGTGTCCCCCTGGAAGCCACGCCTGTTCTGGAGTGGCCAGGGGTTCAGCTAACAGCTGTGGCAGTGACCATGGAGGATGGACACACTATTGCTTTCCTGGGTGACAGTCAAGGGCAACTGCACAGGGTGAGTCCACAGGAAGTACCGGGCCCCGCCCCGAGGTCTGGAGGGGACAGGCTGCTGGGGACCCAGCCTGGAGAGAGTGACCCCTGGGACCCTTGAGGCTGAGCTAGGAGATCATGACATAGCCCCAGCTCAGGCGCCTCTTCCTAGGGCTGGGCGGTATCTAACTGTGACCCCCCAGCCCTTCTGATCCCCCTCTTGCCCCCAGCCAGGGTGGTGAGCCCTGCCCTGCCCACAGGAAATCTCCCTATAAATTCTTCATTGTGGCCTGTGGCCATGGACGCGGGTCCCAGGCCTTGTGGTTTCTGATCTCAGGTGTACCTGGGCACAGGAAGTGATGGGCACCCGTACTCCACACAGAGCATCCAGCCGGGGTCTGCGGTGAGCAGAGATCTCACCTTTGATGGGGCCTTCGAGCACCTGTATGTCATGACCCAGAGCACCGTGAGTGGCAGGCGGGAGCTGGCTGCCGGGAGGGGCCTGGGCCTCGGGCTGGGCCAGGGCCCGTGTGTGGCTGAGCCACCCGTGTTTGCACCCGGCCTCAACCCTCTTTGCTGTCCCAGCTCCTCAGGGTTCCCGTGGCCGCCTGTGCTCAGCACCTGGACTGTGCCTCCTGTCTGGCTCACAGGGACCCGTACTGTGGGTGGTGTGTGCTCCTGGGCAGGTGGGTGCTGCATGGACGCCTGACCTCACCCCAACCCCAGCCCCAGGCCCAGCCCCAGCCTCCTGCCCTCAATGCTCCTGCAGTTATAATTGCCCTGTCCAGGCCCTGGCTGGTTTGGTTCAGTGGATAGCGCGTTGGCCTATGAACTGAAGGGTCCCGGGTTCAATTCCAGTCAAGGGCACGTGCCCGGGTTGCAGACTCCATCCCCAGGAGGGGGCGTGCAGGAGGCAGCCAATCAATGATTCTCATCATTGATGTTTCTCTCTCTCCCTCTCCCTTCCCTTCTGAAACCAATAAAAATATATTTAAAATGATAATAATAATAATAACAACTGCCCTCTCTAGGATTCCTGGTCCTTGGCTCTTGCCTTTCAACCCCTGACCCTGCATGCCCCAACCCCCCACTCCATCCTCCGCCCCAGGGGTCAGGGCCTGGCCAGGGCACACCCAGCCCAGTGTCCTGGCCCAGCTGAGGAGACTGCCCAGGTGTCCCCAGGGCTGACGGTGTCCCTGCCTGTGAACTTCCCGCGGCCCTGGAGGTCCCGGGTGGACTCTGGTCGTTCTCACCCAGGTGCAGCCGCCGCTCCGAGTGCTCGAGGGGCCAGGGCCCAGCGCGATGGCTGTGGAGCTTCGGGCCGGAGCCGGGCTGTCTGCAGGTGGCAGCCATGAGTCCTGCCAACATCAGCCGAGAGGAGAGGAGGGAGGTGAGTGGCCAGAGCAGGTGGGCCCCGGGGGGAGGGCTCTGGCGATGGGCCCACAGCTCAGGTATGTGTCAGACACACTGAGTGCCACATGGCCCGCACAGGTCACTTCCCGGGGCCTTGCTCCCGCCGGCTGTTACTGGCCCGGCCCAGGGGTGCCCGTGAGAGCCGGGCTGTGCCACGGGTGTCTGCCTATGCCGGTGCCAGCCTGATGTGCTGCCCACGGGCTCCGACGCCTGTCCTCGCCTCTCTCGGCAGGTTTTCCTGACGGTGCCTGACCTGCCGCCCCTGTGGCCAGGGGAGCCATATTCCTGCCACTTTGGGGAATACCAGAGCCCGGCCCTGCCGACCGTGTCTGGTGTGAGGTGCCTCTCCCCAGACCCGAGCGGGGCCCCCGTGCTGCCGAGAGGAGCCGGTGGGTGAGAGAAGGGGCCAGCTCCCCAGAGCCCCGCACCCGCCTGCCTCCTGCCTGGCTCCAGGGGGTGTGGGTGGGGCCCTGAGTCCCCCCACTAGTCCCAGACCCCTAAAGTCCCCATTTTATTCCCAGTGGACTCTGTCCCCTGACCCTGAGTGCCTTCCCCACGCTGTGTGGTCTCGGGACATTGGCCGGGGATCTGGAAACCCTGCCCACTCCTCAGCGCTGGCCCGCCCTCCCCTTTGCAGACCACGTGTCCGTGAGCGTGGAGCTCCGGCTGGGCGCGGTCGTGATCGCCAAGGCCCCCCTCTCCTTCTATGACTGCGTGGCCATC